CAACCCCAGAAAGGGAGAAAGTGGTTTTACATCATATACCTGATATGGCATTTATATGCAGAATATATAAAGAAACTCCACAACTTAACAATAACAACAACAAAAACAAAAAGTATGATCAAAAACTAAGCAAAGAACTTTAGTTAACAGTTATCCAAGGATTTGCAAATGGCCAATAAGCACATGAAAAGATGTTCAACGTCACTGATCATTAGTGAGTGCAAATCAAAACCACAATGAGATACCTACTCACACAACGTAAGAGGGATAGGGAGAGTACCAATAAGCCCCCAAATATCAAGAGTTGGAAAGGATGTGGAGAAGTTGGAATCGTTTGCATTGTTGGTGGGAAAGTAAATTCATTTTGAGAATGAATACTTAGTATATAGAATGATACATTACATTAAATAAAAAAAAAAACCTTGTGGTTTTAAGTTTTGTAATTCTGCAGAACATATTTTATAAATTAACTCGGTTTAATTGGATTCCATTTATTTCTTTATTTCAAAATGAACACACTATGAAAAACAGTATGGAAGTTCCTCAAATAATTGTATATAGAATTACTATAGGATTCACGAGTTCTACTTCTGGATATATACACAAAGGAACTGAGAACAGGAACTCGAGCAGATATTTGTACACCAGTGTTCACAGCAGCATTGTTCACAATAGCCAAGAAGTGTTAACAACCTAAACTTCCATTGACAGAGGAATGAAATGACTGGGATGTAGTATATATGTACAGTAGAACACTATTCAGTTTCAAAATGGATCAGATTCTAACACATGCTATAATATGGGATGAATTTGGATGACATTATGCCAAGTGAAACAAGGCGGCTACCTAAGGAATTTTCTTGTATGATTTCACTTATACGAGATATGTAGAATAGTCAAAATCGTTGACACAGAAAATAGATTAGTGGTTACCAGGGGCTAGGGGGAGGGAGGAATGGGGAATAGCTATTTATCACATACACAGTTTCAGTTTAAGATGAGGAAGCAGTTATCCAGTGGTGGTGATTGTTGCACTACAATATGGATGTACCTAATGCCACTGAAAGATGTGCTTTAAAATGGTAAAAATAGTAAATATTATCTTATGTATATTTTCCGTAATAAAAAAACCTGAACAATATGCACCTCTATGATTTTATCTAGCATAAGTATAAACCTCCACCATTATATCTCATGTTCTTCAACATGCCAGACATTTTTCCATCTCAGATCATTCGTACTTACTATTCCCTTTGCCTAGATGCTCTCCTTAATGTTCCTCTTTCACTTATTTATTATTTTTTTACTATGTAGTGTTTAATATTATCTGATAAATAATATGTTTATTTGTTAATTTACTTCTATCTTTGTCCACTAGCATTTAAGATCAGCAAGACCTTACCTGTTTTATTTAGTGGCATATGTTTTGGTTTCTATAAAAGCAGCCAGCATGAAATAGGTACTCAATGGTATTAGTTGAATGGATAATTGAAAACTTGAGGAATAAAACTTTTAATACCACATGTGATTTCCAATCCTACCATGCATTTCAACATTAGCAATTATGCACATTTTGCTGGCTTGCTTTATGAAATTGGCTAAACCTTCTTTCACAGAGTAAGGAGTGTAATTGCTCATATCAAAGAAAATGATCAAAATGTTTTCCACTCCCTCTTTTATGTTTCTTTTTCTTTGCATTGTTGTACTAATTTTTTTTCTAATTAAAGAATTATCACTGATTTGGGCATGTTAAAGTACTTGAGAAGATTGTGTCACTCTTTCTCTGAAAAAATAAATGACCAATATGCGGGACCAGCTTATGCACACACACACACACACACACACACACACACAAGCACATTGTATAATGGTTTTTCATACAATTCTTTTTCTGGGGCAGTAGGAGAATCTTTGCCAAGAAATCAATATTTGGAATCCGTTTAGATCATTATATTTGAGTGACTGCTACCTGCAAATGCACAGAACAATAGGTCTGTCAAATGTAATCATGGGAAGAAAGATTTTTTTTTTAAACTGGCATTACTCCACAAGAAAATTTAGTAGCATGACAGATCAGTAGATAGAATAAGTGCTCTGTCAAGCCTTAACATACTGCCCAAATAATATACAAACATATCTGTCCCAAGTCAGGCAATTGAAGCTGTAGAAATATTTCTAATATGTGTTTGCTTTGTTTTTTAGATTTTCTATCAATCAGAAGTCACTGTGCTTGGATGTAAGTGATGGAGGAACGCCATTTTGTGTCTTTGCACTTTTTACTACCAGCAAAATAACATGATGGATCTGTGAATATATTCACTCATTTTCCACCTTTTAATAAATATGCTGTAAGTGCTAGATAAATTAAAAATGAATGCCAAAACAGAAAATGAGCAAGCCTCAGGAAATTGCCAAAAGCATTACTCCTAGCAAGCAACTCACATATTAAGACAAATATTGGGAAAAACCAATGAACTTGCGTTGTCACCTTATCTCATCATCTTGTAGTGTGATCTTCAATGAAGTGTCTTAATAAAGAAATGGAGGGAAAGAAGTGTGAGGTTAGAGGCAGAGAACTGCACCATAAAAATGTTCAACAATTTGGATTGAAACACTAAAAACATTCAAGACGTGGTATCAGACTGATAACTTTCAGTTTCTTTGTTATTCTGATTTTGATTGAATTACTGAATGTAATGGCTCCTTTTTTTTTTTTTTTTTTTTTTTTTTTTGGTGAATATACTGCCAGAACCATTAATTTCCACAAAGAATTTACAGAAAACCTAGAATATATGAAGTCCTGTGCTAGAAACTACATATTTATTCATAAATGGAGTATGACACTTACCTGTAATCACTCTGATACAATGTAGGAAAGACTGACGTAGAAACAGACAATTATCGAAGAGCCTCAAGAATAAATTGAATAATGATATTCTAATTTATGATCCTTCTTTCTATCATGAATAATTTTACCAATATGAAACATCAGAGGGCACTTGTTTGATATTTTTGTATTGCAAAATAATTCATTTATTCCTTATGCATCTAAAAGTGAAAACTTTGTGAATGAGAAAACTTTGTTCCTTGCACTTGTATGTCAACTGATGAAGTAGCTGTTAAATTGATTTTCCTCTTGAGAAGTTACAATTGCGTCTTTCTTATATTAAAAACAGAAAAGTAACTACTACATATACAGTAAAGAGAGTTTCCTTTGATGTAATTTGACAAAAATATAAAGGAGGAAACTTTTAAAATATAGTTATTTTGAGAGTGAATATTTAGTATATAGAATGATAGGTTATATCAAATAAAAAAGCTTATGGTTTTAATTTTGTAATTTTGCAAAACATATTTTATACATTAGCTTGGTTGAATTGAATTCCATTTCTTTATTTCAAAATGAGCATACTGACCCCTCCACAGGTTTTCTAGATTTTTGTTTTTTGTTTCTCTTTAATTTTTTTTTGAATGTTTATTTACTTTTTTTTTTCAACGTTTTTATTTATTTTTGGGACAGAGAGAGACAGAGCATGAACGGGGGAGGGGCAGAGAGAGAGAGGGAGACACAGAATCGGAAACAGGCTCCGGGCTCCGAGCCATCAGCCCAGAGCCCGACGCGGGGCTCGAACTCACGGACCGCGAGATCGTGACCTGGCTGAAGTTGGACGCTTAACCGACTGCGCCACCCAGGCGCCCCAATGTTTATTTACTTTTGAGAGAGAGAGAGAGA